TGATCACATATGATCAGGCTGGTGCATATAGATCAGTGCCACACACTAGATTTTTGGCGTGTTTTGGTCTGTTAGAAGAAAGTGCCTCCCAAAATTTTAAAGAAAGAAAAACTTATATATGTACAAAAATAAGGGTTAATATGATGAAGGGATGGAATATGACTGTAAAGATGAAAATTATAAAAGATTTTATAAAAGGAATTGATAAGTTGGTTGAAAAAAGACAGAAGAGGTTTTAAAAAAAAGAGGAAAAGGAGAGAATGTGATCAGGCAGGAGACTTGAACAAAGCCATACACTAGAGATTTAGGGTATATTTTGATCTATTAGAAGAAACTGTATCTCAAAATTTTAAAGAGAGAACAACTTATATATATATACCATAAAGAAGGGTAACTACTATGAAGGGATAGAATATCACTAAAAATGAAAAATAAAAAATATTTTTTTAAAAAAGGGATTGATAAGGGGCGCCTGGGTGGCTCAGTCGTTAAGCGTCTGCCGTCGGCTCAGGTCATGATCCCAGTGTCCTGGGATCGAGCCCCACATCGGGCTCCCGGCTCTGCGGGAAGCCTGCTTCTCCCTCTCCCCCTGCTTGTGTTCCCTCTCTCGCTGTGTCTCTCTCTGTCAAATAAATAAATAAAATCTTAAAAAAAAAAAAAAAAGGGATAAGATGTTGGGTGAAAAAGGGAAAAAGAAAAATTCAAAAAAAGAAAGAAAAGACAGTTAAAAAAATTCACTTTGAAAGACTAAAGAAACATGGGAAAAAAGCCATGAATTCTATGTGCAGTATTTCCCTAGCGCTGGAGTTCTGCCATTCTCATTGATCGGTAAACTTGGTCTTGGCTGGATGTTCTTGCGGATCTTCTGGGGGAGGGACCTGTTGCCGTGGTTCCCAGTTGTCTTTCCCGGAGTCGGAATTTCCCCACCCTTGTCTGGTCCTGGCTAAGGAATCCGCTCGGGTTTGCTTTCGGGAGCTTTTTTTTTTTTTGAAATTTTTATTGTTATGTTAATCACCATACATTACATCATTAGTTTTTGATGTAGTGTTCCGTGATTTATTGTTTGTGTATAACACCCAGTACTCCATGCAGAACGTGCCCTCTTCAGTACCCATCACCAGGCTAACCCATCCTCCCGTCCCCCTCCCCTCTAGGACCCTCAGTTTGTTTTTCAGAGTTTATCGTCTCTCATGGTTCGTCTCCCCCTCTCTTGGGAGATTTTGTTCCCTGCAAGCTTTCCATACAGCTTGGAGGACGAGAGTAAAAATGGCGGCCTCACATTCTCCGCCCGGAGGAACCAAGAGCTCGGGGCCCTGCTCCTCAGTGCGCCCCCAGAGAAAAGCCGCCAATCACTCCCGTCTCCCTGGTCTCCGGCGGCACTCTGTGCTCACCCGGCCTGTGACCGAGCATTTCTATCTCTGGCACCCGACCCTGTGTGGAGTCTCCAAACTCAGCAGATCCCTGCGGTGCGCTCCTGTGCTGCTCCTCCCAGGGGAGGAAGGAGAGTCTCCCCGGGGAGGAAGGGGAGTCTCCCCGGATCTGCCACTTGGTGGGTCGCTGCTGGAACAGCAATGGCCCGACTGTGCCGTGGATCACAGTTTATGGCAACCCCGAGCTGAGAGCCCACCCCTTGGCTCCGTCTCTGCAGCCGGCTTTCCCACTCCAATCCTTGGGAGCTCTGCCGTACTCAGGCACCCCTGGTCTTCCTGTGACCCTGAGGGTCCTGAGACCACACTGTCCCAGAGAGGGTTCCACACCCTGCTTATCCCCTGGAGCAAGGTACCTCAGGCAAACCGACTTCTAAAAGTTCCAATTTTGTGCTCCGCGGCTCTATCATTTGTCAGAAATGGCCAGCGGAGGCCCCCTCCCCTGCCGTCTATCCTCCCAGATACTGCCTCGGATTCACTTCTCCGCACGTCCTGCCTTCCAGAAAGTGGTTGCTCTTCTGTTGTGAGAGTTGTTGCTGTTCTTTTCTTCGATCTCCTGTTGAGTTTGTAGGTGTTCAGAATGGTTTGATCCCTATCCAGCTGAATTCCTGGACCAGACGAAATCCAGGTCTCCTACACCTCTGCCATCTTGCTCCGCTCCCCCGGCCCCATCACCTCTTTAACGCATCCACCTTACCCCCCTCCCGTCTGTAACCATCAGTTTGTTCTCTGTAATTAAGAGTCTGTTCTTGATTTGTTTCTCTCCCTGTCATTTTTTCCCTTTACTTCTTTGTTTTGTTTCTTAATTTCCACATATGAGTGAAATCATATGGTATTTGTCTTTCTCTGACTTATTTAGCTTAGCATTAAAAAATATGGAAGGCTCCACAAATTTACATGTCATCCTTGCTTAGGGGCCATGCTAATCTTCTCTGTATTATTCCAATTTTAGTATATGTGCAGCCAAAGCAAACACTTCTGCCCATTCTTAAATGGCATTATTCAGTTTTTGGATGTTGAGTTGTGTTAATTTCTTTATATATTTTGGACACTCACCCTTTATCAGATATGTCATTTGCAAATATCTTCTCCCATTCAGTAGGTTGCCTTTAAGTTTTGTTGATTGTTTCCTTTGCTCTGCAGAAACTTTTTATTTTGATGTACTCCCAGTAGTTTATTTTTGCTTTTATTTTCCTTGCCTCATGAGATATATCTAAAAAAGTGTTGCTACAGTCAATGTCCAAGAGATTACTGCCTGTACTCTCTTCAAGGATTTTTATGGATTCAGATCTCACATTTAGGTCTTGAATCCATTTTGAGTTTATTTTTGTGTGTGGTCAAAGAAAGTGGTCCAGTTTCATTCTTTTGCATGTGGCTGTCCAGTTTTCCCAGTGCCATTTGTTGAAGAGACTGTCTTTTTTTCATTGTGTATTCATTCCGCCTTTGTTGAAGATTAACTGACCTTATAATTGTTAAGTCTATGTCTGGTTTTTCTCTTCTGTTCCATTGATCTATGTGTCAGTTTTTATGCCAGTACCATACTGTTTTAATTATGACTGCTTTGTAATATAAGTTGAACTCTGGAATTGTGATATCTCCAGTTCTGTTTTTCTTTTTCAAGATTGCTTTGTATATTCAAGGTCTTTTGTGGTTCCATATAAATTTTAGGATTGTTTGTTCTAGTTCTGTGAAAAATGCTGTTGGTGTTTTGATAGGGATTGCATTAAATCTGTAGATTGCTTTGGGTAATATAGACATTTTAACAATATTTGTTCTTCCAACCCATGAGCATGGAATGGCTTTCCCTTTCTTTGCATCGTCTTGAATTTCTTTCATTCGTGTTTTATAGTTTTCAGACTACAGGTCTTTCCTTTTTTACTATAGCCTTCAACCTTTCTTCCTCCGCAGAGGTAACAACTGTTATCAGTGTGAATTATACCAGGCCTTTTTCTAGGTATTTGTGTGCACAAATACTGACCCTTAGGTTTATATTTTATTTTTTTTTAATGTCATCACATTGTACAGGAACACCTCATTTTATTGCACTTTGTAGATACTGTTTTTTGTTTTTTAACAAATTGAAGGTTTGTGGAAAGTGTGTCAAGCAGGTCTTTCGGTGCCATTTTTCCAATGGCATTTGCTCACATTGAATCTCTGTCACGTTTTGGTAATTCAGTATTTCATACTTTTTCATTATTATTGTATCTGTTATGGTGATCTGTGATGAGTATCTTTGATGTTACTATTGTAATTGTTTTGGGATGCCACAAACCACTCCCTTACAAGATGGAGAACTTAATCGATAAATGTGGGTGTTCTGACTGCTCCACCAACTGGCCGGTTGCCCGTTTCTCTCCCTCTCCTTGGGTCCCCATTCCCTGAGACACAACAATATTGAAATTAGGCCAATTAATAATCCTACAACAGCCTCTTTAAGTGTTCAAGTGAAAAGAGGGTCCATGTCTCTAACTTTAAATCAAAAGCTAGAGGTGATTAAACTTAGGAATATACATCAAAAGCCAAGATAGGCCAAAAGCTAGGCTTCTTGTGGCAAACAGCCAAGTTGTGAATGTAGAGGAAAAGTTCTCAAAGAAATTAAAAGTGCTACTCCAGTGAACACACGAATGATAAGAATTGAAATAGCCTTTTTGCTCATGTAGAGGAAGCTTTGGGTCTGCATAGGAGATCAAACCAGCCCATTCCCTTAAGCCAAAGCCTAATGCAGAGGAAGGCCCCGACTCTCTTCTATTCTGTGAAGGGTGGGAGAGGTGAGGAAGCTACAGAAGAAAAGTTTGAAGCTAGCAGAGGTTGGGTCATTAGGTTTAAGGAAAGAAGCCATCCATCTCTGTAACCTAAAAAGCACAAGGTGAGGTACCAAGCATGTAGAAGCTGCAGCACATTATCCAGAAGATCCAGCTAATTAATGAAGGTGGCTATACTACACAACAGATGGGCAATGAAAGCTTGTGTTTTGTTTTAATGTGCATTTTTCTGATTACTAGTGAGATCGACTGTCTTTTCATATGTTTATTGGCCTTTTCTATTTCCTTTTGTGTGAAATGTGTGCTCATGTTCATTTTTATTTTGTGCTGTCATTTTATTATTGCTTTGTAGGATTTCTTTAGTTTCATACTTTGCTTTATATTCAGGAGCAGCATCTCTTCAGAATTGTCATGGCTATTGCACATCTCTCATTGACATACATTCTGAAATTATAGAATCAGCCTGTCAAGTTCAAGGAGTAATCCTATTGAATTTGTTTTTGCTTTAATTACTACAGGTTAATTTGGGGAGAGATAGCCTGTGTTTTACCAACACCATTTGTTTAATCTTTCTCAGCCTAATATGCCTGTTCTGAATTAGATCATTTGTTTAATGCTGTTGCTCTGTGATAAAAATTAAAATAGTTTACCTTACTGTCCTGTTTCATTTCTTTTGAAGTAATTGTCATCTCTTCTAGCATATTTCTTTTCTAAACACATGTTATCCGAACTGTCACAAAGGGCTACTGGTGGGATGTGCAATAGCTGTTGGGGAAAATTCTATCATCTCTTTTGTGTCTTGTTTTTCTAGCAATCCCCAAAGTGAGACTGGAGACAATCTACATTTGTGGAGTAGATGAGATGAGTACCCAGGATATCTTTTCCTATTTTAAAGAATATCCTCCTGCTCACATTGAATGGCTGGATGATACCTCCTGTAAGTACACGCAAGTTTTTTGTTGAATGTGCTTTTGTTTATGATTTTAATTTTGCCATCTCAGATCGTGAATATTTGTGGTTGAGACTACTCGTCTGTGCCCTAACCTCTACCTTTAGCCTAGGGGAGAAAGATTGCCCATTGATGAGAACCAGAATGCCCTAGCCAATCTGCCAGATCATATTCCATGAGTATTCCAAGTCAGCTCAGATGTGATGACCAGGAATCTAGGAGGTTGGTTGCTGGCATCTGAGTCTTGTTTACATGATTGAGGCCTCTTTAACTCCCACAGTTTCCCAACAAAGGGGTGGATCCAACTGTATAGACCTGGGCCATCGCACCTTCCCATATAGCTCTTCACAGGGCTGGTTCTGCCTTAGTATTTGATTTAGAACTAAACTGGAACCCTCTGACACTGTATGAGACCTCTCACCTCTGCTTGCTTTGAAACTTCACCTGCTTGCCCTAACCTATGAGTTCTCCAACTTGTGAACTAGCTGTAATTTTTACTTGCCTCGCTCTTCCAAGTCTGGTAGGACCTGTGGTAATCACTCTGCTGGCTCCTTGTCTTAACTCACTTCTAGTCTGGCTTGGCTTACTGCCAGCTTGCTGACCTGCTAGGTTGTACCCTGAATAGCTGCCTGGTTTTTCCAGCTACTTTCTTTAGATGTTGATTCAGTGTTTTCATTGAAAGAAGAAACATGACTGAGTTGAAGAGTTTTCTCCATTTTTCCTTTTGCTTAATTTACACTATCTAAATCAAGGGTTGGCAAACCTTTTTTTATAAAGAGCTAGACAATAAATATTTTAGGCTTTGCAGGCCATGCAGTCTTTGTTTTGTTACATCTATTCAGCTCTGCTATTGTAGCATGAAAGCTGCCATAGACAACATGTTACTGAACAAGCCTACAAGCCTGGCCACTTTCCACAGATTTTTTTTTTTTTTTTTTAGTAAAAAACATGGTGGATGTGTAGTTTATTGTTACTTACTTAATTAATTATACCTACATAAAGCTGGTATAAATATAAATAAATAAATGAATAGGTGGTGGGCTGGATTTGGCCTGCAGGTCGTAATTTGCTAACTCCTGATCTAAGTCACTAAAACTGTAGCTAAGGGATATTAGAGTCGGAGGGACCCTTTAGATTTACCCAGTTTTCCTAACTCATGTACATCAGAACTGAGAAACAGAAGGAAAATTGTTTGCCCAAGGCCACGTCACATGTTCGTAACAAAAGTGAGAATCTATAGACCTTCATTTCCCAAACTGAGAGTGGAAAGGTAACTTTGGTTTGAGAAATGCTCTTTTAAACAAAATTAAATAGATTTCTTTTCTATAAGACTTCTCAACACCTTTTCTTTGCTAAATTCTCTTGTTTAAATAAGCAGATTAAATTAATTGCTACAAAGCCAAGTGGCTGTCATGCCTCCATTGTATATGCTCCATGGATACCATCATCATCCACACTTCACAGTGGGAAACAATCATTAGTGTGTCTGAATGACAAGGTACAACAGACGGCTTCCCTGTAGAGGGCAGTAGTATGAAGGATAATCTAAATTTATTTGATGGTTGTCGTCTTGTCATCATCATCATCATCACCACAAGAACTGCTAACACTATATAGTACTCACTGAGCCAGGCAGTTTTAATATGCAGAACCCTTTCTCATGGAATACTTTACAGTTATTTTGTGGAACCCAGTTTGGGAATGCAACTCTAGGCTAATTTCATCAAAGAGGTTTTACTACCACTTTCTGTACTACTTTCATTAGTTGGTTCATACATTCACTGATACTGACCTGTAGCTATATGAGGCCATAGCAATGAATATGTTGTAGTCTCTGTTTTTTAAAAACTTAAACCATTTGGATGTGATGTAATGTTTTATTTTACATTTTGTTTTAGGTAATGTGGTTTGGCTGGATGAAATGACAGCCACACGAGCCCTTATCAATATGAGCTCTCTGCCAGCCCTAGACAAGATAAGAAGCAGGGATGTCAATGAGGACAGGTCATCGGAGAAAAGTAAAAAAGGTAACAACACAAAGGAGGGACTTTAGGGCTGAAAGTCCTATTCTTTACACCGTTGGTTTAGGTTTCTCTGCAGAGCATTATATAGCATCTCATTGTCAGTTACTTCTAAAATAAGCTGTGATGCTTTGGATCATCAGTAAATAGGAAATATTGGACTTTTAAATTACTTGAGATGGAGTTAAGGTTCATCTTGTCCTTTATGTTGTATTTTAGACAAGCAGGAAGACAGTTCAGATGATGACGAGGCTGAAGAAGGAGAAGTTGAAGATGAGAACTCAAGTGATATAGAGGTTAGTAATAGGGCAAAGATATATATAAGGTTTTAGTGTAAATACTGCTTACTCTCTTATTTAAGGCTTAAGGACTTAGTAAATTGAGTTCTTCCTCTGGCTTTCACTGTTAAACCTTTTGAGGGTACACCAGGCTCCTGGCCTTTAAGTTCATATGGCTGTAATGAGTGATTTTTCTTGAAATCTTAGAATAGTACTCATATTTGTGTATAAAAGAAAATGGTTTTATTGAGAAATATTTTGAAGTGTTATCAGTAAAATTAAGAAAAAACAAGTGACAGAATATTTCCTAATGGGGCATGTGTTATTGTTGGAAATACTAAAGTGTATTCATTTAAAAAATATTTATTGAGTACCTACTCTATACCACATTCTAGGTCCTGTGGATATAGAGCATCAAACCAAAGTCCTTCCCCTCTTGGAACATACATTCTAGTGGAGAAGACAGACAATACGCAGATACACAGATATATAATATAATGTCAGAAAGGGAGGAGTGCTAGGGAGAAAAGTAAAGAAGGGTAAGCAGATAGAGAATGATGGAGACTACTCTTTAGACAAGGTGTTCAGGGAAGACTTCTGACTTAGAAATGTTTCAGAAGAACATGTGCTGTCATGGTTCAACAATTGTTAAAGAATGCTTTCTCAGTGGGGACTTTGCTACTGAATAAATATGAAAGAAGCTTTAATGTTTATATTGAAAATGCTCCTTTTTTTTAAGTTGGACACATTGTCTCAAGTAGAAGAAGAGTCTCTGCTAAGAAATGATCTTCGTCCAGCTAACAAACTTGCTAAAGGAAATAGGTTATTCATGAGATTTGCTACAAAAGGTAACTGTGATATTTGGCATTAATTTTTAGTTGTAATCTAAGCCATTTATTTTTGAGTGACATCCTTCTCTTTTGAATAGGAAGTTAGGTCAAGTAATCTCAAAGTCCCTTCAAGCTATAATGTTCTATGCTTGTGAGATGATGGCTTGCTGCCTGAGTTGAATTTCAGATTTTGAAGGTGAATGTTAGCTATTTGAATACTTTTGTGATTTCTGGCTAAAGGAAGTTATTTTCTGTGAAAGCTAGTTTGCTCTCTCTGCGTTTCAGCCAATTTATCATCTGAACTATTAAAACATTTTAAAATTATACTTTTTTATTCATCACAGCAATATCCTCCTGGACATTGCTAATTGTGCCATTCAACTCTAATTCTCTAAGGAGTTAAAAGCCTCTTAAATTTGTAAGGCTCTCTATGCACAATGATTCTGGTGTGCATTAAAATATATATGAATTTTGAATATGGAATACTCCTCTGATCTATTTTTCTTGACTGAGACATGTTTAAGGAGTCTAAGCTCATTATTTTATAGACTGCCCCTCAGTTTCGGTTTGTCTAATATCTCTTCCTGATTAAATCGGGTTCTGTGTGTTAGGCAAGAGTACCACAGAAATGCTGTTGTATCATTTGCAGTGCATCATGTCAGGAGACACGTGATAATTTACTTGTCCCATGTCTGGAGATGTTAACTTTTCTCACTTGGTTAAGGTAATGATTGCCAGGTTTCTCCTGTATTTCCATTTGTAATATAAAAATTTGTGGGAGGTACTTTGAGATTTTGTAAATAGACTTTTGCTTATCATACTTCCACTCAACATCCATTGATGACTTTTTAACTACGTTTCTTTATTAGTTGGCATTCTGCTATAAGGAAGAACTTTCTCTTTCTACCCATTTATTTATTTACTTACTTAATTATATCAGTTTAGATTCATGAGTCTTATTTTATTCAGTGGGTTATTCATTCATATCATTGTTTTGATTTATAAATCTTCTTGGATTTGGCCAGTGGAGCCCCTTCAAGCTCTATTATTTTGACATGCCTTCATGATTCTTTGAGCACTTTCTTTCTTTATGGCACAGTAAAACATCTTGTTTTTCCAGACTCAACTTGTACTTTCCCTGTCCCAAATCTGGAATCAGCCATTCTCCAAGGAGCTGGTGGGCATGTTTTTTAAAGGGTATACATGCTGGCTTGTGCCACTGTTTACTTATAATACTGGATACATGTGCATTGGTATTCATCTGTTGTCAGTGAGTGCCTCAACAAAAATGTGTATGATCATTTCTTTCTATTAACTGGCACTTTAACTTGACAAAAGTGATCTTCTCTCTATCTATATTCATTTGAGTGGCTTATTTGAGTGCATTCTAGATAAATGGTGCTATGCTGTTTTCTGTAAGCCATTTTGAGGAATGTGATGGTAGGAAAAAATGTTTTACCAGATATACGGAATATATATAATCTGTTTCTTTAATACTTCTTTGTTATTGGAGTGTTGTCATTCAGAAACAAATGTCATCTTTCAGGGGGGCCAGGAAAATACTACCTCTTCTGGAAAGCCTTTTTTATTCCTGAACAGCTATAATGACTGAAGCTCTCTTAAGCTTCTTAGAACCTTGTGTGTTGTATTATTGTTGTTGTTAATAGTATTTTCTCTGTGAGGTCAGTCAGCTCCTTAATGGCGGCTTAACTTCATTCATCTCTGTATTTTGCTCCCCCCCTCTATATTGCACTGCTTTGCTTTTGTAGACACTGAGAGTGAATATTTGTAGTGTATCTTTCCCTTTTGTTGGCAGATTGTGCTGATCTGATCCCAGCTATGGAAAACATTTTTTTAAACCATTCAACATTGTCTTCATACCAATGGGAAATCCTAGGTAACTGTCGTAATTAATTTTTAGATGACAAAAAGGAACTTGGAGCAGCCAGAAGAAGTCAGTATTACATGAAATATGGGAATCCAAATTACGGAGGCATGAAAGGAATTCTTAGTAATTCTTGGTGAGTCCAGAAGTTTAAAATACAATAGTTTAAATACTACGTAAGCTTTTCTTAATCCCTCAGTTGGTATTCTGCAGTGGAATGTCAACACCATGTGTGGACTCGAAGGAAGACAAGAAGAAAGAGTTCAAGATTCTTAACTCTAGGGTAAATGGTATGAAAGGCTGAGTTTGAGTTTCACGTAAAATGTCTCTGTTTCAGCACCTAACATTTCATCAGTGTATAGTTGAATTTAATTAGTAGATTTCAAGGTCCTTTTTGTTGGTTTTTTGACTATGTGCTTATTTTGGAATGTTGCAGGAAGCGAAGATATCATTCCCGTCGCATTCAGCGGGATGTGATCAAGAAGAGAGCCCTGATTGGGGATGACGTTGGCTTGACGTCCTATAAACACCGACATTCCGGTAGTTGCCTGCTCAGCTCTTGGGTAGACACATGTTTGGCTCCCGAAATCATATTCTTATTCTTAATACAGTCTTTTAAGGTTCCAAACTTTATCATCCTCTCTTCCTTGCCCTCACCCTCTGCCAACATATAGGAAAGTAAGTCAAGTCACGATTAATTTTAAATTGCCCATACAAAAGAGGTCAAATGATTTAATAAAAGCTGTTCTAACAAAAAAGGCCAAATATGACATAGGAAAAATTGAAAGAAAATTTTCTGTAGGAATCTAATTTTTCTACTATTAATATCAAAAGCTGCATGAAAATCTTTTAAGTTATTTTATCAGATGACTTGATTTTATTATTTCTTTGTCTGATAATGAAAATAGGCTGCTATGTCTAGTGTTTTATGCTTATTGGCTTGTGCACACGAATGCCTCCGTTAAATGAGATACCATGACTTGGGTTTCATTTTGTTTGTTCTGTCTTTCCTTCCTTTCTTTCTTTGTTTTGGTGCTTATGAAAGAACCGTTTTCATTATGTTTTATAAAGATTTGTTTTTATTTAAAAAAAAAAAGATTTGCTTTTATTTTTAATCTAATCTGTAAAATCTTCTACATGCTTTGTAGAACTGCTAAGTCAGCATACAAACATGGGATAACATGTATACATGTTTATCATTGTAACAGGGACAGGTGAAGTCTATCATTTTTATTTAATGAGTATATCCAAAATTGTATATTTGAAATCTGCTTCTTAAAAATGTACATACTTTTCTGTTACACAGTTACAGGTTTCCAATTTCAATTACTCTAAGGTATTCTTACCATACAATCTTTATATTTACATTAAAGAAATTAAGAAGCAAACTGCCCCTAATTCTAGCACGCTAACATAAACAACAGATTTAGTTTTACATTTATTTGTCTCTTTTCATAATAAATATAATTGTTAACATATATTTTGTAGTCATCTCCCACTTATAAGCATTTTTCCATGAACTTTAAAGTTACAGTTGATTTTCATTATTCATAGTGGTTATGTTCTATAAAGTCACTGTGATCATTGATATAGTGAATACTAAACCATTCAGAGACTCTGGTCACACCATTTTCATCAACTGATCAATATATAACCTTCTTGGATGTGTGTTTCTGTTTAAAGACATCTTATTTAATACATATTGTTGATTCATTGACATTGGACTCACAGCCAACAGCACTATACCTCATGCTCGAACAAAGCTTATTTAACATGTGTTTATTCTGTAAGGCACATCACAGCCTTCTTGGGCTTAAGAACACAAGACAGCTTTGGCAGTACACTTGGAGGCCATTTTAAAAAATTTTTAAATGAAATCACAACAAAAGCCACAAAAATATGAAAAGCATGGCACTTAACTGCAAAAAGGGCACTTGTTTACAGTATGAGAGCTGAAATAAGAAAGCAGAGTGTTGCCTCATTTGACCTCAGCTGGGAATATGCACAGCTGATGATGACTCAGTTTTTTTTGTCACTCTGCACATGTCCACAAATGACCATGAAAACACCTTTACAAGTGTTGATATGGAGTTAAAAATAAATTTGGCAGATTTGCAAATACAGAATTCATGAATAATGACAATCAGCTGCACTTTAGATAACTTTATAATAGTCCATCAGGTTACTAGATCATACTGTACTAGCCATTCTTCTGTTGTAGGTATCAGAATGGCAACTAGATTGGAACTTACAGATAATGCTCTAGTAAGATTTCGGGCATGGGAAACCCCACCTTTTAAAAAGGTCACGAACATAGAGTAGAAATCAGATTTGTTAGTTTTAGTGCTTTTCCTAATGTGTTTTGGTTAAATTTCTTAGGACTAGTAAATGTTCCAGAGGAACCCATTGAAGAGGAAGAAGAGGAGGAGGCAGAGGAGGACCAGGACATGGATGCAGATGACAGGGTGGTGGTGGAGTACCACGAGGAGCTGCCAGCTCTCAAGCAGCCCCGGGAGCGGAGCACCTCTGGGCAGTCCAGTGCCAGTAGTTCAGACTCTGATGAAATGGACTATGACCTAGAATTGAAAATGATTTCCACTCCTTCACCAAAGAAAAGCATGAAAATGACCATGTATGCTGATGAAGTGGAATCCCAGTTGAAAAATATTAGGTAAAAATAGGTTTTTTTTTTCAATGCTAACTTTTTATTTTATTTTAAATACTAATTTGTAACTTTCTCTTAACTCCTCTTAATTTTATAATCACTTTTATCTGTTCTAATTTCAGTCCGTTGAAGAATTTGAATAAAAGCATCTAGTTTTTCCTGTAAATATACAAGAAGTAATCCTTGTTATAAAAATGATAGACAGTAATAGAAAGTGAAAATCATCCATAATATCACCTTTCTTAAAATAATGACTTATTAATTAAATGAATAACTTTCCTGCTAATTTTATATATATACCTAACACATGGAGAAATTATAGTTCTTCAAAAATGAAGTTGTATTTATATTGTTTTGCAGTGTGCTTTTTCTGTTTAATATATTGTAGACTTCTGCTTTTCTTTCCACCCAGATGTAGTACATTGTTCGAAAGTATCATGATTTATTTAACCAATCCCTTATTGATAGACATGTAGGTTTCTATTTTCTTACTGTTGCACTAACTAGATAAATTTCTTGAATTCTAGTTATTGCACAAAACTACATATATATTTAAAAATGTGGTGTTGCTAAAAGTGCCTAGGTGCCTCAGTTGATTGAGCATCCGACTCGGTTTCGGCTCAGGTCATGCTCTCAGGGTTGTGAGATCGAGCCCCGCGTCGGGCTCAGCATGGAGTCTGCCTAAGACTCTCTCCTCTTCCTGTGTCCTTGCCCGCCCACCCCTGTTCTCGCATGCACGCGCTCTCTCTCTCACTCTCCAAAATAAATAAATCTTAAAAAAAAAAAAAAAAATCCGTGTTGCTAAATCTCCTTCCAAAAAGGTTTTACTCACTTTATAACCTATTACCTACATACTCACCAGTCTTATCACTCTTTCTGATTTTTGCTAATTTTGTGGCCAAAAAAAATATTCTAATATGTATTTCTTTGATGACTATTGGGGATGAACAGATTCCTAAGGGCAGATAGCATATGCACAACTCAAAAGTGTTGGGGTCTAGGGGTTCTCTCTCTAAGTGTTCGTGGTAGTGTATTTGGGGAAAGGAAAAACAATTCAGTCTGGTTCGTTTATATGGCTTTGCTCATATCCTTATTTTTAGTTTTCAGAGAACTTTCCAGTGTTGAATACTGCCAGAATAATGCTGGTGCCTAGCATGGTAGCAGATGTCTCTGACAGAGAAGTCTGCCCTTTAAAAAAAGAGATTGTAGACTCTGTTGTATGTTGACTACAGCGAAATCACAGCCTGGGTGAACAGAGATCCCTGAGCCCTTTGCAGGCCTTACTCAACATTTGTCCCAGAAGGGAGGGTACTGGGACTTGCAATTACACATTATTTGATAGTTTACAGATATCATTTGTGGAAACCACACTGGAAAACTCAGAAACCTACTTGCCCTGATCTCTTTATAACAGGCTGATCATGATTTTTATAAGCAAATAATTATTGATACATGGTATTTGTGAGTGAATATTGGCTATATTAGATTGGGCTCTTAAATTGTTTCCTCCAAAATATATGAGATTATTGCATAGTCATTATCCCACAGTTGAAGTTGGTTAAATGTGCCTTTTTTTTTTTAAAGGAACTCCATGAGGGCAGATACTATATCCACAAGCAATATAAAAAACCGAATTGGTAACAAATTACCAACAGAGAAATTTGTAGATGTCCGACATCTGTTAGATGAAAAACGTCAGCACACACGTCCACGGCCACCAGGCAGCAATACTAAGTCAGGTATTGTTTGTTCAGTTGTGGTTCTGAGCTCCAGAAAGCAAATTAGGGCAGAGGTAGGTCCTTGGATAAAACATTGCCAGTAATGAACTGATTTAGTTGTCCTAGTTCATCACTTCTAAATTTTGGGTTAGGCATTGGAACTTTAAGGACATGAAAAATAATCGTACTTTTGCAGTACTAGCTTTCAATATTTATGTCCCAATTGTTTTACTCTGTATGGCATTGATATACTTTATACATAAGGATGATAGAAATTAAATTGGGTTTTTGTATAAATGGTCAAGAATTTGAACTAGATAGTATACATGTGCAGAGTGGGTACTTGGTCATGCCTGCTGTGTGCCAGGCCCTGGGTTAGATGGTGGGAATGTTAGAATCTTTGGAGGGGATGCAAAGTCATCATAGCACTTAGATGGAGAAACACGAGTGCACACATTCTGGTAATTCCACCCCAAAACAGAATGGAGTAAGTGCTCTACTAGGTCTGTAAGCAGTGGACTGTGGGAGCACAGAGGGGAGGTGGGTCTGCTGGGGGAATTGTGGAGGGCTTCTTAAAGAAAGTGGCTTTAGAGCAAGGCTTGGGGAGGGAGTGGGATCTCCATTGGCAAACCTAGTTTTTTGAGGTGGGAAATAAACTGATCTTATATTTATTTTAGAAAGATAATTTGTGGCAGGGTGGGGTAGGGTAGAGAGCTAAATAAGTAACAAGAGTCTAAACTAGATTGGGGAGAGTGGAGATGGAATGGATGAGAACATCAAAACTTGTAAAGGAAGAAGACTTGGCACTAGGAAGTGAGGGAGCAAAGGGAAAGAAGCCAGAGGACTCAGGCCTGAGAAACCAGAAAGTTGGGGATGCTGCTCTCTGAAACAATAAGCAAGATGGATGAAGGCCGCAGTACAGTGACTTGCTAGTAAACGTGTTGTTGTTGCTGTTATTGTTAGGGGGAACTCAAGAGGACAGATTTCTTGGAGGAGGATTGGGGGAAGGGAAAAACAAATTTGATTTGTGATATCTTCCCTTGATCCTTTGCTTTTGTCAGTCTCATTACATTTACTATTAAATGTAATAAGTTTATTAAGAATTCCTTATATGTTCAAAGATTGTGGTTTCTGTTCTCAGGGAACTTACAGTATTGTTTGTTAGCTGAAATGTTTGTAAATTCTTTGGTATGCTTGGTTCTACTTAAAAAAAAACACACACACAAAACAAAACGGCTGAGTTTGTGTCAGAAATTCCTTTCTGGAGCAGTCAGCTGGAGTTTTTTTTCCACCGGCAGCCTCAATGTCTGAACTTTCCTAGGGGAATCCGGACTGATTATATAGAGAGAAGGATTTTAGAAGCTTGATTTTGTCAGGCTCTTTGTCTTGGTTTGGGGAGATTTGGCACCAGGTCCTCTAGGGGTCTCAGGTTGACAATATCGATAGCAAAGCACACACGCTTGGTCACAGTAATCCTTTTTTTCCTTTTTCTAGATATACGCCAGCGGTTAGGAAAAAGACCATATTCTCCAGAAAAGGCTTTTGGTAGTAACCCAGTCTTTCGGAGAGAGCCTTTTTCTGATGTACATAGTAGGCTGGGTGTTCCCAGGCAAGACGTTAAAGGCCTCTACTCTGATACTCGGGAGAAGAAATCAGGTTGGTAACACTTAAAACCGAGGGGGATAGGAATTGGTAAGAGCAGACTATAGCATAGAAATACTTTGTCGGTCAAAGGCAGGAAATAGCGTATGTCAAAAATAAATTATTTTTCCTCTTCCGTTATAGTCGTCATAATTGTAATAAGGGTATGGAAAATTTAGAAAATAGAAAAAAACAAAACCAGCCTTGGTTCTTTCTGTTTAGCACAAATATTTTTTAGTCTTACGTCTCTACTCACATCTTTGTCCATATACTTACTCTGCTTTTTTCATACAGGATTTTATTGTGATCATTTTTTCACATTGTTAAATTCTTTATAAATAAAATATTTAATTGCCTTTATAGTGTAGTATGGTATGAAATGCTAAACACATATTTCTTTGTTGTTAGATATTAATAAAGTATATATTAAAAATTAATGGATAGTGGGCCAACTCTCTGAAAGTTTACAGTATAGCAGGCCTGTCAGTTTGCAGAATTTATAGCTGGGAATGATCTGGGAATGGCCCACTCCTGGCAGAATGAAGCTCTACAGAGAATGGTGAGTCTCACCAGGGAGGGGCAGGTATAGCATAAGCAGCCTCCGAGGTGATTCTGATATGCATGGGGAGGCACACGTCCCCTAGCTGTGGGACCCAAAGATCCCTCAGTTTACAGGCAGGGATGATAGCCAGGGAAATGAGATTACCTTCCTAATGCTGCAGAGAGGTTACAAGAGCCACAGACCCCTCCCCAGTGTTTCTTGCACATCAGGTGATGGCAATGTCCCTGCTTCTCAGCATTGACCACCAAAACTGAAATGCCTTCTCACCCAAACAGGTAGTTTATGGACGCGCTTAGGATCTGCACCCAAGACCAAAGAAAAGAACACGAAGAAGGTGGATCACAGGGCGCCAGGCACTGAGGAAGATGACTCTGAGCTGCAAAGGGCATGGGGGGCTCTGATAAAGGAGAAAGAACAGTCTCGCCAAAAGAAGAGCCGGTTAGATAACTTACCATCTCTCCAGATTGAAGTTAGTCGGGAAAGCAGCTCTGGTTCAGAGGCAGAGTCCTGACGCCCTTGGGGCTAATGGCAGCTGCACTAAAATCTGACATTCTCGTGCAGGGTGGGGTGCACAGTAGGACCCCTCCGCCCCCCCCGCAGGAGTTGGCGCCCCTCCTGCTCTTACACAGTCACCCTCAGCTCTTGCTGCTTCAGCAAGACATGTTAAGAATGTGATGTGTTTTGAAGGGCATCTGTCTATATTTTGCTGCAGAATAAGAGTTCTGGGCCCTCAATCCTTTCCCCACTACCCCACAAGCTTTACCCTTTGAGGAAAAGGCAGCCCTCCAGATTTTGTAGATGTTTTTCTTAATATTTTTAACATTGTGCTTTTAAAGAAATGTTTTACACAGTTCATCCAAAGAGCAGAGAACTGAACTTCTCACTATTGCCTTGGCCCTGACAGCTGTTACCAGCACCCTTTTCCCAAGAAAAGTCAATTCCCAGGTGCTTATTGGACAGCCTTCGAGGGGGAAGATGAGGGAAGCTGCCAGCTCACCCTTCCAGGACCCTAGTGTGGGGGCCGGATCTCATGGACCTGACCTCAGAGGTGCACCGGTGCCGCCCAGGTAGATAAGAGATGCAGCATCGATCATGCTTCCGTTCCTCCCTGGGGATTTCTGTTAGGGGCATCTTAGCAATCAGCTTGAAGTGAAGATCAAGTTCAGTGCTGTGGGATTTTTAGGAACAAAAAACTGTGACTTCTGGATTTGGGGTGGATTTTTGTGCTAGGGGTGGGGTCATGGATTAATGTTGAACAATTTTTAAGTCTGTATTATGTTTAAAAATATTAATGATTTAAAAGTTTAAATTTTTAATTTTTATATGTGAAAATATTTCCTGTTGGCTACAAGGGAAGCTCAAGTGGTGTCTTATGTGTGCTGTTAAATATATATTATATACTTTGGAAGAAGGCAAAGAGAGGAGTCTCATTATTTTTAAATGATCCTAATTGTATAGTCAGTCTGTTGTATATAGTGTTCAGCTTGCTTTTTGGCCACTGTAGGAAAAAAATCCATCCATCTGAGATGGGGTCCTGTTGTTTATTATCACTTCAGAAGTGATACATTAGTATTTATTCTTTCTATTTCCAAGTTCTGGCACCTGAAGATATCTTTAAAACTGGCAAATAAGATAATAGTAATAGAAATTTTAGTTTATTTCTCGTTTACTTCTAAACTTTCGGATTATTTTAAAGGCAGTAGATTACTTTGTCTTACTATTTGATCTTTATTTTGAAGTATTTAATGTTTGTATTCCTCTACAGGCTTAAAAATAGTATTTCACTTTAATTCACTAGAACTTAAGAATTAGAGGTAGTAAGCCTTTGTCCCTTTGTGATGTCACAACTCCTCACCTGTCTGGAGTGTTTCAGTACCTGGTGCAGCCCTGGATTCTAAGGATCTTTACTTGTGCCATTGATAGTTGATTACAGTATGGTGTGAATGCGGAACACTGCTGCTAAGAAAGGAAGGAAAGGGCTGTGGGGCTTGAGAGCCGCAGCAGCTGTACTCTACCATGTTTTGTTGCTGTACCTGCTTTTCAATCCCTTTAGAAAGATTAGAGGCTATTAACTACTGTATGTTTCCGCCTCCTCATCGGATTCTTGGAGAGAGATGGTTCTCTGCCAGTTGAGACCTAATGTTTCTGAGGTTTCTAGCTTTTTTTGCCCTGTGGAGCATACAGCTGAGAGCCAGGTTCTTGAGAAGGGCAAGGTTTGGGGAGTTGGTAGAGTGAGAAGGACAAGGACCTGAGAGTCTGAGACCTGGATGCCAACCCCTGGTTTCTGTTCCATGGGCCTGGGCCTCTAGTTTTCCCATCTGGCAGGTGAATGGGCTGGTACCAGAGCTTCTGACTTTGTTGGTGCATCTCAGTGGTGTTTTACTCTTCCCGAAGCAATGGTTGTGGTGGGCTGGCCAGCACCAGTTTCTGTTGCAGGTGTGGGGAGGGTCAAGAAGGGCATGCATGAGGTTTGGGGCAGGGATTGACCTCCATCCCATTTCCATTACAGTCTCTGGGTCTTCTAGTGGGACAGAGATGTCCTTGTGGTCAGGGTCCTAACTGATGTGGTCTCAGCAGTGTTCAAAAAAGCCCTTCTGTGTTTCCCAGTCACGACCTTTTCCACCAGTAGTTTGAGCCCATCTCTCCCATGGCCTTATAGTCCTGGCCAGTCTTCTGCTAGAGATCAGGGAAGGCTTTCTGAAAAGGTGGTGGTGTGTAGTCAAAACTGGGCCTTTCATCTAACCATGAAAAATGCCCACTTCCGCAGCCTTGTAATTCTTACAGATACACAGACCCCAGAAAGGTATCTTTGAAGATTTTACTTCCCCAAGTTATTGTTGGCCACCTCCTCTTGGTCTCTGGCCCACACTCAGGCCCTCAGATCTTACAACATCTTACATGTGCTCTGAATGCCCAGGCCCTTTCTTCAGAGTTTGGGAGTGAGGGTAGACAGGATGGCCCCCTAGTGGCAGCTCAGTGTGCCTGGGCACTCCTTATGTATGTGGGCAGCAGGGCTACAGACTTTTCTATATTCTTCTTAGTCTTTATGCATATGAGATTGCAAACACATTTCTGCTGCTTGATAGTAATTGCAGATACCTCATTTCTGTTTCCCACTCTCCCTCTTGGGAGAGACACCAGCTACCCAGGAGAACTTGTGGAGCCTGTGACAAGCCCTCCTCTGGCCCCTTTTTTCGTCCCATGAACTCCTCCCCTTAGTTCAATCACTGTCTTCTCCCACTTCATCCCTGTGACAGCTCCTCCCTGATCTCTGCCCCATATCCCATCCCTCCATCTCTGTTCTGTGCACTGCAGGTGGGATGAACTTTTGTTGTTTGCAGCTTTACTGAGCTGTTATTTACATAGCGTACAGTTCACTCCTTTCAAGTATATACTTCAAGGGCACCTGGCTGTCTCAGTTGGAGGAGAATGCGACTCTTGATCTCGGGGTTGTGAGTTCGAGCCCCACATTGGATATAGAGGTTACTTAAAAAAATTTAGGAAAAAAAAGTATACACGTCAGTGGCTTTTAGTATATTCACAGAGTTGTGCAGCCATCACATAGTCAATTTTAGAACATTTTCATCACCAAAAACAAACCCTATATCCATTAACAATCATTCCCCAGTCCCTCTTCCCTCCTGGCAACCACTGCTTTTGGTTTCTGTGGATTTGCCTATTTTGAATGCTCATGTAAATGGAATCATACACTTTGTGGCGATTTGTGATTGGCTTCTTTCACTAAACATATTTTTGAGGATCATCCGTGTTGTAGCCTGTATTAGTACTTCTTTTTATTAATGAATAATATTCCATTGTATCAGTACAGTACATTTTATTTATCCATTCATCAGTTGATGGACATTTGGGTTGTTTCTACTTTTGGCTGATGTGAATTATGCTGCTATGGAACATTTATGTACAAGTGTTTCTGATCATGTTTTCATTACTCTTGGGTTATATATCTAGGGGTGGAATTGCTGGGTCATACGGTAACTCTGTTTTAACCTTTTGAAGAACTGCCAGACTATTCTCCCAAATGGCTGCATCATTTTCCATTTTCCCCATTAGTGTATGAGGGCTCTGGTTTTTCCACGATCCTCGACAACACTTATTTCGCAACGTGAAGTGGTAGCTCCTTGTGATTCTGATTTGCATTTCCCTGTTGTATAATGATACTGGGCATCCTTCCGTGTGCTTCAGAATGAACTTTCTTAAGAAAGTTATTCTGTTATTCTTCTGCTTAAAACCTTTCCAAAGCTTGGAATAAATTCCAAACTCCAATGATAGCTCACAAGGCTTGTCAAAATCTAACTTCTGGTATCTCTGGCCTGTTCTCCCCAACCTCCCCTGCCCTGTGCCCACTAGTTACTTGGACCCATCTTGATCTCACCAGCCTTTCACAACTCTGCTCAGTGCTTTTCTTCCCCAGCAGTGACACACTCCCCTGGACCTTTCTCCCTTCTGCCTAAGCCTTGCCTTCTCTTTTCCCTCATCCTCATAGACTTAGAGACCACTCCAGGTGGCTGCCTCCAACTTCCAGAGCCAGGTTATGGGCCCCTGCTACACAGTACTGTCATGAATGAGACTCTGCTCATTTCCAGGTTGGGCTATACAGTCACACCTAACATAAAAATGGAGTGTAATCAAAATTCCTCTTGGAAATCCTGGGGAACATGCCATGTTGAAAACCAGCATCGTGAGATCCAGCACAGTTGGTTTCTGCCTGTGTGGGAACAGATCATAGTTTCTTTGGTTGAGCTCCAGCTGAAGTGGTTGGCCTGCAATGAGGGCCATATTGTGGAAAGAAAACCACTTATTTTTAGGTGTTAAACTCACTCAGGCAAGCAACTCACCTTTGAAGAGGCTCTTGGGAACTGTAACAAGCCACACAAGCTTACCTTAGGTGAGTGGAGGGGCAGGTGAAATGGCCCAAATGACTTAAAATTGTTTTCCTTTCTCCTTGTCATTTTAAAAATTTTCTCAGGAGAATATACCATTGTGTTTGCCTAAGTGAAATGTGTGTATGATGCCAAATCTCTGTAACCGCCCCCCAAAGCCAGCACGGCTATACACTGAATTGTAATTCCCTGTTCCTACTTTGTCTTTTTTGCTAGATTGTAAGCTCCATGAGAGTAGGCACCATGTCTGGTTTGTTCATAGGGGTTTCTCCAGTCTTAGAGCCATGCCTGGCACCTGGCAGGTTATCTATAAACATGCGGTGAATGTATAAATCCCCCAGCTGCAGGAACAGCTTCATTCTCTGAGGCCTGGGGTCCTCTTACAGGCTAGTCCTTGTTTTCTGCCTTGTATACACAATACTTGATGTTCATGTTTTATTTTCCCTTTTAGCCTGTGAGCTCCTAATGAGCAGGTGTCTTCATGTTATCTCTGTATCCTCCCACCATGCCAGTCCGGAGTAAGGAGTACTTAAAAAGTGTTTGGTAAATGAGTGAATTATGGTAACAACCCAGCTCTGACTCCTTTGCCTATAGGCTAGTCGAAATCTAGCTGACATTAGCAGATTGAAAAGGAGGAAGATTATTCAGAAGTACATAAACTGTACTTGTATAAGAAAAAAATCTCATTAATTAGACCTCCATAAAATTCAAATTTTGGTGATCTGGCCATATCTGAGCTGAAGTTTACCTGCTGTATAAAGAATTTGCAAGAGAATCATGTAGAATATTTTTTTTGGAAAGCATTCATCTGCCCCAGGAGAGCAGGAAAGGAAGCTGGTAGGTGGATGAGAGGCCCCAAAGAGGGACTACTGAGCCAGTTCTTAGCTTTGGGTCCTGTGGGAGAGGAAAGTGACAGCAGTCCAAAGAAGGCAAAGAGAAAACTTGTTCAGGCAGCAGCTCTTTTGCCTCCAGTAGCAATTCCAGCTCTCACTCGAGTGTTCTTAGAAAGTTCTGCAGTGCAAACGGGCTATTTGGGTTCACAGTAACAGCGAACCATGGCTTCGCAGATTAATTAATTGCTGTACAAATTAATTGGGTATATAAATATTTGCTTTTAAACTTTATATAACAGGAAACAAATGAAGTTAAAAAAGCATTTTTTTTTCCTTTAAGAACTAAAAGGACAGAATGTTTTTGATAATTTTGAGAATATCACACTTGCTTCAAGGCAGATTATTGCATAATCTGACCAACAAAAATCCAGAACTTTTCTTACATGTTTATAAAATAAATCTTAGAAGAAAAAATATGGTAAGCATTTTTTTTTAATGAAATTCTATGAACATTTCACAAGATTTTGATGTTCCTGGGAGCAATTAGGGAAATGCTGGCTCAAAAGCCTATTTTGGATTGTGAGGCACTGAAGTGGGAGTTTCCTGTGCTATAGATAAAACTCTAGAGTATGGGTGGTGTTAACCTGCCAAAGTCAATACCCTGCCCTAGGGTTCTTACCTGTTTTTGCTCGAGCAGTTCTGAGGCCCTCTGTGTATGACCAGAGTCTTCAATAGGTGAAACTTTGTGTTATCTCAAATTGTCTGTCACCCTCACCTCTGACTGTAGGTTAGTGAAGCCAAGAGGCCTACAACATTGGCAGGAGAGGAGACATGACCTTCCTGTCCCTTCCTGGCTGTTTGTGTGTTTAATCATGTGGTGCCTCCCCTTTTGTCATTGGCAAGGATTACTCAGAAAGCCTATGAGCAGGAGGTTGTACTTTTAGCTCAGGTAGAGTGTCTTTGCGGGAGGGTCAAATAGAATAGTGTCTGAGACTGGGCCTGAAGCCTGGGGACTCATTTTTTCTCACATACAAACTGGAAAAGACTGAACAAATCCCTTCACCTCTCTGGACCCCAGTTTCCCTGTCTGTCAGACGAAGAGCTCAACTGGGATGGTCTCCAGGTTTCTTTCTATTGCTAATGTGAGTTCTAGGATCTTTGCTGTACCTTTGCAAAGACCATTAGGAGCCTAAGTTGCACAGGAAGGAGGTGGGGGGCAAACAAGAGGCCCAAGCCCTTGGACCCTTGGTCCATAAACCAACCCCTCAGCTACAGAAGAACAAGAGGACCCTCTCCCTTGCTTCCTCCGCACTAAGCCCACCTTCCCCAACACACGCACGCATGCACCATTCCGTGTTTTATTTGGGAGGCTTTTTAGGAAGTAGTCCATTGTATTAGCATGGGCTGCCATAACAAAATACCATAGACTGAGTGGCTTAAACACGAGAAATTTATTTTCTCACCATCTAGAGGCAGAAAGGCCAAGATCAGGGTGCTAGCGTAGTCAGTTTCTAATGAGGGCTCTCTTCCTGGCTTGCAGACGGCCATATTCTCATAGTGCCCTCACATGGCCTTTCCTTGGTACGTGCACATGGGGAGAGAGATCGCTCTTCCTTTGCTAAGGCCACTAAGCCTGTTGATTAGGGCCATACATTTATGACCTTAATTATCTCCTTTAAGGCCTTTAGACCCTATCTCCAAA